ATGATATAACCAGATGAGACACATCCTCTGACTCAGTCTCTGCTCAGGTGATAATGACTTTTACTCGAAAGTAAACTATCATTATTTATTTTTCATGTGGACATCTTAAATTTTTACATCCTGTATGGAAAAGGAAGTGCAAAAAACAGCTGGGGAGGTTGAGAATCTCTTTAAGAGAAACCTAAAAATAGTGAATGAACTATAACTTAATGTTTATATTATGATATTGTTGCTTTAGATACTGTAATGCCAAATCCAGGAAGTAAATTTTAGTTTTATATTTTTCATTATGAGCATAGCTCTCTTTCTGTGTGTATATATATATGTGTGTGTATATAAGGTCCAGTGTGATGTGGGGTACACTGAAATGTAAAAAAAGGTATGAATTTCAGGATTGATTTGCTATAAAAAGAATGTCAGCTGAGTTTAAAAATATGTTTCTCCAAAGAAAACCAAGAAGGCTGGCAGGTCTATCATATTGATAAATATGACGCATGAACAATGTTTCACATACATACTGAAGTATTTCCCTGAAACTGAAGCCATATGCTTAGTCTACAATCTCTCCTCATCTGTAATCTTGAATTGTCTGAAAAGTGCTTTAATTATTTGAGAAGCAGTGTGTTTGCAAAGGCAACTGCTAAGTTATTATGCATGAGAAAATTCAGTCATGACTCAACTTGTTTGGGTTGCTAATAACATTTGAGTTGAAAAACCCACCAGGGTCAATTTGAAAACCTAAGTAGAAACTCATATTAATGTTATTATTAATATTATTAAACAGAAGTTGAAAGGCAAAGTGGAAAGTATTTTGCATACATGTAAAAAAGATGTTCCTCTGCAATGTTTTATATTGACAGATATGTCTATAAAGTTGGTACACAGGGGAACAGTAGTAGGAGGAACTTTAATTGAATCTGAGCTGCTGCAAACTTCTGAAGAATTTGAAGAAAAGTAATTTCAGTCAATTAAATCTGAAGCAATTGAATCGAGTGCAACAAGCAGGATTTAAACCCAGTGACACTGGAGATCTAGAACTTCGCTTAGGACCTTGAATTTACACAGAGTTTTCTTCATTTTGAAGGTGTTCATACATACAAACACCAACACTATTACCAAAATGTTTCAAAGGTTTGACTGATTTAAGGGGTGGTGTTCAAAACAAGACTTACTTCTACATGCCACATACTATTATTAGCTCAGGAAGTTTCTATGTTGCTAAAAGCACATGAAGAAGACATTAAAAAGCAATAATTTCCCTGCTTGGTATACATTTTCCTTGAGCACCAACTGTTTGTCACATCCAGAAATGAGACAATGGGCCAATTTGTTACATGACATTGATCAGGAAGTGACCTCCAAAAGCCATTTTTAGTAACCACAACAGTGGGCTGATCTTTCCTTCAAGTGCAAGTGGTCTTGCTCCACAGGTGTAAGAAATCAGGAAAGGAAGGCAAGAGAAAAGCATGGATGAGTCAACTCCTTCTAACTCTAAAGAGCAAGAAAGAAATGCATAGGTCATGAAAGCAGGAACAGGAATCCTGGGAAGAGTATAAGAATGCTGCCAGCTGCATAAGGATGGAGTCAGGAAGGTCAAGATGCAGCTGGATGTTTTCCAAGCAAGGAAAGACTAGTAAGAAGTGGTTCTACAGGTACATCAGCCAGATTGAGAAAATCAAAGAAAGAGGACGTTACCTAATGAGCAAGTCTTCCAAACTGGTAAAAATGTGTGAGAAGAAGGCTGTGGTACTCAGTAGAGTTTTGTTTTAGTCTTCAGTGACAGTCTCCTTCTCACACCTCTTAACTGGATGAACCACAAAAGAGGGACCGGAGGAGAAAAGTCCCTCCCACTGTAAGAGAAGATCATGTTCATGACCACCTGAGGAACCTGAATGTACATAAGTTAATGGGATACAATGAGATGAATCCTAGAGTCCTGACTGAATTTTCTCATTTGCCAAGCTAATTTTAAGTTGTCAAGCCAACTGCCTGCAATGTCTGAACATCATGGCAGCCAAATGAAACCCAATGTGGCTGGAAAAAAGGAAACACTGTACCCATCTTTAAAGAAAGTAGAGAGGAGGGAACTACCAGCACATCATTCTCACCTTTGTGCCTGGCATGGTCGTGGAACACGCCCTCCTAGAAGCTGAGCTAAGGCACACGGTGAATAGAGAGGTGACGTGAGACAACCAGAATGGCTTCACCAAGACCAAGTCCTGCCTGACCAAGCAAGTGATCTTCTGTGATGGAGTGACTGTATCGGTAGAAGACAGAAGAGCTAAGGATGTCATCTATCCGGAGCTCTGTAAGGCCTTTGACATTGTCCCCACCAAAATCCTTCTCTCTAAATTAGAGAGGTGTGTTTTGATGAGTGGACTGCTCAGTGGTTTAGGAACTGGTTGGTCAGTGGACTCCACAGGTCAGTAGCTCGACAACCAGAAGGAGACCAGTGACAGTGATGTCCTTCTGGGGCTCATATCGGCACCGATATTTCTAATGGCTGTGACAGGTACAGTGGGATGGAGTGCACCCTCATGAAGCTTGCAGATGACACCAAGCTGAGTGGTGCTGATGTGTCCTGATGTGACCTGGTTTTAACCATAGTTTGGCTGAGGCAAATGGAAAATGAGGGGAGCAAGCCAGTGTATTCACTAATCGGCCATGACTGATAACCACAGAGGGCTTGGAGAGAGGAGAGGCTGGCTCTGGAAGAAACATTTACTACTTTGATTTGTTGGCCAAGCAGACACCAATGAAACTAGTGGCTGCAACTCAGAAATTAAAAGAGAAAGAAAGAAATGGAAAGGAGGGTAGGCCTCCAAGACTGATTACTGCTGCATAAGCATTTTGTCATAAGCAAAAAAGGAAGGCAGACCAGATAGGGGCTTCTAACAGTGACAGAGATAAAGAGGCTAAAGTTTAAAAGCACAGAAGTTTAACTGCCAGTATTTATTTATAGCTTCACACATACAAAGGCACTGCTATTTCAGGGAAACAGCACTATTTTTTATATGTGTCAGTTTTGAATAGTCCAGACACAGTAAAAGTAAAATAAAGTGAACCGCATGTGTTAAGGAACAAATTTAAATAGCAATGGCTCTGAGAATAAAGTGTACATTAAAATAAGGGAAGAGGCTATAGCTCATTTAATTTGCAGAATAAATCTCTGACAAAGATCCCTGTCTCGTGCACAGAGATTATATTAGGAGTTGAGAAAAAGATATAAGCCACAGTCTTATATGTGTGTCAGTGTGTATGTGTGTATAAATACTGCCAATACTGCCACTTATCTATCCACTAACTATCTATCCATCAGCAATGCATGTACATTCATAAACATTAATGTTTATTTTATTCATTAATACACAGAGACTTACCAATTAGCCGTATCAATACTTTATTTGGCAATAAATTCTTTGAGGCAAGGGTTTTCCTCATTTTTATACATTGCATATATATAGCATAGAGAGATAATTGGTTCCATAATGATAAAACTATTGTGCTTCCTTGCCACCTTATTTTTTACTGACATTATCAGAGTTGTTCAATAAATGCCAGCTATTCACTCTCTGATACATCACTTTTACTCATCATGTGCCACATGATTTATAGAGAAAAAAAAAGTGGATCATATTAAAAGTATTTCAAAGTTTACTGGAATTTCAATGGAATGCATTTTCATTGTCTCTGTGTCTAGATATAGTTTTTGAGCCGGTGAACAAATAATTTTTCAGGATGAACTTAAATGTAGGATGCAATACTTCTACTTATTTATTACTATTTAGTACTTTGTGCTAAACAATGCACTTTCACTCATGATGATGAAAGAAAAGTATCTCAAAGACCCATCCCTATGTTTTTCCTGGTTAACATACATGTTATTTAAAAAATGCTGAATTGTAGACTTCTCTACTGATCATAGAAGCATAAAAAGGAAGCTGCTTTATGACAGATTTTTCACTTGGGCTTCCTTCCTTTGCCATGTCTCTGTCAAGGCAAAGTTTAAGAATTTCACTCTTTATACCTCTCAGTCATGGAAATTGCTTTTTTTTTGAGATATCACATAGAAAAAAACCCTCAATTTTTGTAGTCTGCTGCTGCAGTTGCCCTTAGGAAGATCAAGCCCTAAACTGTTTCTTCCTCAGAGCCAAGACACATCTCTACTGACAAGAGATGGGCCACAGCCTTGCTGGTTGCCCCACAGCAGATATCTAGTGGGGAAGAGAAGGCAGCTGGGCACCATGCCATAAAGGAGGCGCATCCAGCACATTACAGACCATCAAAATTGCCTCTGAGAGAATTAGTAATTAGCACAGAGGTCTTCTCAAATTAGTGTACTTTAACTCCCAGGACTAACAGTGCAAGTGGGCTACTGGACTTTGGCTTGGCACCATCTAGTTCCCATGAATAGAGAAAGTGAGATATGAGGTTTTTTTCCCTATCAGCCATCTTTAGAAGGAGGTTGGAAAATTTAAATATGGAATAAAATTACAATCTGAGCTCTGATTTAAAGACAATATATGCTGCCTTTCCTCTAAGCCAACTGTTTATGAACTCAGAGTTTCCACTGCAAGTAGTAAACTGCCTCAGAACCATCTTGGAGAAGCTTGCCCTATGTTTTCCTCTTCTCCCATATAAGAGCTATTGCTGAAAAATTTAATATAAACCTCTGGTCTTGATATTTATCTTCCTTTTTAATTTATTTTATTTTCCTACTTATTACAGGTTTCTTTATAAAGCTGTAACATTATCTTCTGAGAAACCAAAACTTTATAAAGCTGTAACATTATCTTCTGAGAAACCAAAACAGTCATGATTCTCTCATTTGAAAAACATTTATTTATCTTATTTATCTTAGAAATAGGAAAAAAAGGCTTCTTGGTAATCACTGATTTCTGTATCTTCTTTATTTTCTCTCAATTTCTTTATGTTTTTTTTAAACACCAGTTGTTTTCATTATTTCAAAGAATACAAAAGCAAAAACAAACTTTAAAAAGTCATATCAGTTTATACTCTGCATTGTCTTTATCCTTCTCTTTTCACTGTCTCCTCCTAATGACTTTCTGACACACACAAAAAGAGGCTAAATTCCTAAGATTTTAATGAACAGTTGGTTTTTCCTTATCTAGTAATTGGTCCTTTTGATTTCAGTGGCCTTGCTCATAAAATAAGATACAACTAGGTATTATCAAGGATATATTAATCACTAACAATTATCTAAATGACTAAGGATCTTGATTTTACATAAAAAAGATTAGATTGTTTTAAGATTATGTGCTTATGAAGAAGCCAACAACATTGTAAGAACTCCCAAATCTAATCTATTTAAATCTTTCCCTTAGTACTGAAGGGGACTAATCAGAGTCTTTTTACCTTCTTAGTGAGAATAAGTGAACATTATTTGGCTATTCCCCCATTTTTCATTAGACAATATTATATGGGTAGTAATTTCGCTATATATATGAAGCATAACTTCTTTCTCCCTGGAACAGGCAGAAAGAAATTAAATCACACCTATTCAGAGAGGCTTCAACATTTCTGGGATAATTCTGCAGTACTTCACTGTGCTTCTGACTTTCACTTTGCTTAGGGCTCATTCCAAAATCAATCAGTAGCCTTTTATGTGTTTATATAGCATTGTATTGGCACATCTAAGTATACAACAGCAGCTCTTTCTCCCCATAGTGACTTCCAGCATCTTGCTGCAAAAGATATTTTTGGGATGAGATTTTGCCTGCCAGTAATTCTAGGGTGACTTTGTAAAGGTCAAAGAAATTACTCTCAGTTTGTTTAGTCAAAAACTGACACACCCACATGGGGGCGAATAAAATCCACATGGGTTACACTGGCATTACAGTGGTGATTTTGTTTGTTTATTTATTTGTTTGTTTGTTTATATATAAATATGTGTGTGTATGTGTGTGTATTTATCTCCTCCAAAACACTCTTAGACTCTCACTGCAGCCCCTGTCATAATTGAAGGGAGAAGACAGTTATCTCATGACCTGAAGGCATTAGCCAAATTATCATGGATCAGACATCCGCAAAATACAAAATGAGGTTTCATTTGACATAGACATTTACATCAAACATATACAGAATAATTATTTCCACTGGAGCATTGATGAATCAACCAATGGCAATTTAATGAGAATACTGTCTGTCCTTGTAAGTTATATTCCCCTTCAGTTGCAAAGGTGCTAGCCAAGCGCATTGTATCACTCAGTCTTGTCAGAGTAGATGTTCTGTCACTGATTAAAGAGCTGGATGTCCTCTTTAGTCACAAAAACATTTCATGGAATAACCTTGTTTCTGTCTTAATGGATTCTTGCAATGTAATGAAAGGCTCCAAACTGGACTTGAAGAAACCCTCAGAGAGACAGAGAGTGTCACTTCTCACTTAGTCACCGCTGGCAATTGCTGCCACTCTGCCCATAGCACACCTGAGAAGAGATGTACAAGTCATTTAAAAGGCACATTCCGTCAAATGCACAATGGGTAAGAAAAGCATCAGAGGAGTTTCTGCTTCCTTCCCCCTCCCCAGCCTCCACAACTTTCAGATTTCTCAGATTTGTCACAGCCAAACGAGAGGGTCAGGAATAAGAACGAATATTTGATACCACTGTGTGAGCTGAGTTTGACATGCTGATGGCACCTTGGTAATCTCTGCCAGGAAAATGATTTCCCAGGGTTTGCAGGGAAAAAAGCTGGGGGAGAGAAAGGAGAACTGACAGTGCAGTTTCACTCCACATCTGCTGCCAATTTTAAGGAGTCACTAATTCACAAACTATATGGTAAGCACATTTAACTGTTCTAGCATTTTTCTCATGCTTCATGAAAACAGAGATAATAACTGGTAAACCAACTGTAAAATTAAAAGAACTAGATGTTGCCAATAAAGACCATCATTTCAGGAAAATAAATTTGTTTCTTGGAAGCTGATCTCTAACGTATGCTTTAGGTGCCCACAAGAAAAGCAATTCAACTGGAGAGTAAATTGATCTTGCTCCACTGGTTTATATGAACAGAGCAAAAAATATACACCAAGAGGTTATCACTTAATAACTCTTTGTTTCCCTAATATTGAATCAATAGCAGGATCACTTGGAGTCATCAAATCTCGAAGTGCAATGTAAAAACATATTCAAGGACACACACTCATACACAAACACACACACACACACGCACGCACATGCGCCACTGAAGAAATAAACATTTCCAAAGCAAAATGTTCCATCACACTTAAGACAATATTGGTCTTTGGAAGATAAGAAACAGCAGCTTAATATCTTCTCACAGAAACTCATGGTCCAAAGCATCTGCTGGTATAATTCTTATTTCTGCAAGGGGAATGGTTGTATACACAGTTATTACTGTGTTTTAAAACACACTGTGAGCAAGATGATCTCATCTCCATGGTATCCAGAGACAGGACACATGGGAACGATTCAAAGCTGGAGCAGGGAGGTTCAGACTGGATATAAGAAAGCTTTTCCTTGCCAAGGAGGTGGTCAAATACCAGGACAGGCTTCCTAAAGAGGCAGGAAATTCCCAAGCTTGGTAGTGATTGAGATCAATTTACTTTCACTTGGTCAGGCCTGAATTTGACAGACATCGTTGTAGGTTCCTTCTGACTGAAACAGTCATCCTTTTCTTCCCATTCCACTCCAGTCATAGAGATAAGCATTTAAAAATGCTGAAGGTTTTGTTGTCAGGCCTCAAATTATGTCTGTTTTACTGATAATCCTCATTTTTTGTCTTACAGTGTTTTCATATGTAAAATCTGGAATGAGATCTCTTGCCAAGATCTTTTCCCTTAAAAATGAAGGGACAAATTACTGGGGTAGTCATTGGCTAAACTGCAGTTCACAGAAACACTCTTGTCATGAAATTTTCTCAGGCTCCATCAAGGTAGCAGATGGGTTCAGGACTTAAAATATTGTATATAGGTTTTCTTTACTGTAAGTAAAGTGAAATAGAAAGGTCTAGGGAAATTATCACATGATTTCAATGACTGTGTAATAATTAGGTAAATAGCCTCTGAAATGATCTTGTTTCTTGCAAAATACACCCAAGATGCTTAGCACAAAAAGAGCTATCTACATTAAAGAAATGCATCTTATGAATGATTGACATAAGCCACAGACTTGCTCATACCCATATGTCTCATTAAAATGGGTTTAGATACAGTTTATATCAACAATGGTACACGGGAAAGAAATTAATCTAGAAGACAATTAAATTATTTTAGCTCCCTAACTTGAAATATTGACCTTATTGGGAAAGAGCCTCACATGTAAATTGAGAAATAGCTCAGAATAAACTGCAAAGTATTCAAATTCCTTCTTTCCCATGAAAACACACCCCAAAAATCTCTTCTGGGATCCCCTGTATCCCCTATCCTTATCCCATACATATAAAGAAAAACATTAATAAGCTCTTGTAGCGCCCATGGTACCAGTGCTAGCAATATTGGGAAAAACAGTCAAGACCTAACTATGCAAATGAATAATGTCTTTCTGTGCTGATGAAATGAGGAAAAGCACATCCATGTGAGATGTAGATGCCATGATGTTGGTTACTGTTTGCATACAATAGGTCCTAAAGCAATGGTTCAGTTTAATGTTTCTAATAATAACAACCATAGTGCTAGTAGCACTGTCATACCTGTGGTTAAATTTCCACTCCTGGTGAGTGGAAAAAAAGAAAAGAAGAAAAAAAGTTATATTCCAGGGACATGAATTAATTGGAAAGCTGTATTTCCAATACAGTGGATATTAAGCTTTACCATTGACACCAGAGCTGTGAAATATAGCTGACTCAAGGGGTAGGAAAATAGAGGAATATGTTTTCCTGACAACTGACACATGGCCTGCTGTCTCCTGAAAGAGCTGCTGGCCATCCACTCTGCTTCCTGACACCCACAGGCTGCCCTGAGTCTCAACAATGGGTGAATTTCAGCAAAGTTTGACTGCTCAAACACAGTGTGCTTCAGCCAGGGAACGGGACAGGAGTCGCAGACGATTGATTCATCTCTCCGGGTTCCTAATATCCCCTGGTTTGGGAATATATATCAAGGCCTTTATTTCATTTAGTACATAAGGAAGTAAAGGCCTGCAACCCATTTCCATTAAATTAAAGCAATCTCTTTTTCTTTCTGCTTTTTTTTTTTTTTTTTTTTTTTTCAAATCTTTAAATAAGATTCAGCATTAGACCTGGTCCATAGTGGTGAAAAAAGATGTCAATTCTAGATTTTCATCAGAAATAGTTGTTTCATTTGTTCAGAATTTATTTCATATCTGAGGAATAAAATGAATAACTGATAATGAAAGAAGGGATACAATTTATTTTATGGGTTATATATGCTGGGAACTGTAAATATCAGTAAATCAATCCCCTCTGTCTGCCATTACAATTAACACTCATTTTAGAGAAGAAGAAACTGAAGCCAAAAGTCAGTTTTCAAGAGATCTACACAGGAGCAGATATGATCTGAGATTTTGGTGTCCTTATCACCATAATTCCTCATGAAAAATAAAGATTTGCTTAATTTGTCTGCTTAAAGGGTGCACTGAATGGACTTTATTTGTGCATATGCATGTGTGTAAGAAGCTTCTAGAGTCTCAGAAAGAGGATGATGCTTCCCAGTCAGGAATGGCATCATCAGCCAGCTTAAAAAGTATGTGATAAACACATTTATCCACTAGAGGATGCCTGGGCAAACTCTTCTGGGTAGAAAACAGGTTGTTATGCTGAAAACTTCAGCTACAGATGCTGAAAAGCACAAGCTTGTGATGACAGCCATAATTTGCTAGCTTCATCTCCACTATCAGGACCACTGATAAAGCAGGGAATGGACAGCTCTATGTGCACCGTCAACAATTTAACAGGCACATCCTGGCACAGCTGGTGCAAGGAACACAGGGAGTTTGGGGACATGGATCTGAAAAATCTAACAGAAATGGGTTGAGACTTGCTTTAAAGTTATACATGTGCTTTACTGAAGTAAAAAGTTTAAGCAGAAGCTGTCTGCACATAAAGTAGCTCCATCTCTTTTCCACAAGTTCCCTGCTCCTCACCTGGTTCTGAAGCACGGTGTAAATGGCCTTGCTTCAGCACGAGTGGGGCTGCAGGAGGCAGCAGGAGCTGCCTTCTCAGGAGACTGAAGCATGGACAACTGGTTTTCGTAGGATTTAAGGTTATGCTTTCAGAAAACTCTGTAGAACTGATCTGTACAGAGTGGCTTGATGTGACCCCGTGGCTCTGGCTCTCTCTGAGGAATGGGAGTTCACCGTAGGTTTGGCTCATCAGGATTAAGAAATAAGGCACAGAATTCCTACCAAGTTGTCATTCTGCTGCTTTGTCAAGGTCCATGCTTGAAGTCAGAACTAGAAAAAGCTGAAACACTGCTCAGAAATTCTTCCCAACTGTAATAGCTCTCTGCATTTAGAATATTCTCACTTTAAACAACTGCAGTTCAATACACATGACAGCCACTGCTAATTGACTCAGCCTTTGCAGACAATGTATTTGCTCATCCTCTGCTGCTACCAAGAAGTTGCTGTAAGAGAAAATAAAAAAGAAAACAACCTCTGAGCTTAAAATCCCAAGTTGCAACATATACTTTAAAGAAATATGCACAATAGTTTTTATTGTTTGTGTCCAGTCCGTTTATTTCCAAATGTTTAACACGATGAAGTTCAACAGATAGAACAGCTAATAGTACTAGGTATTGAATTTACAATTGAACACAAAGTGGATGAGTCTATTATAAAGCTTGTCCAGGGAATGCATTTATGAGGCATCCTCTAATCAGCAGAGAGAGGGGGCATGTTTGTCCTTTCTTTGTTGCTTGTGAGTTAGTGTTAGTCCGAAAGACTGGCTTGTATCCAGGAAACAGTAGATGAGGGTGGATGGAATTTTTTCCCATGCCTCGTACTTGAAATAGGTCAGTATGCAAAACTTAATTATAAAGAAAGATAACCAGAACTGTTCCTTTCACAATTAAAATAATTATAAATACAAGCTCAGAAGACTCCCCTTGCATCTGAGTATATCTTTCCTGACTCTGACTCAGTGGTACAAGTTTTAAATGGGGTTTTTGCAAGCACTACTAATGTTGAAAAGTTTCAGAGAGCTTTAAATATTTGATTTATTGAGTTGTTTTAATGCAGGTTAATTCAGCTTGTACCTAGCTTCTCTGGATACTCTGGAGGACCTGTGGGTTTGTTTTACATTATGGAAAGGAAACATTTATCTTGTGATATTGATATTATCATGTTAAGTTGCAATATTCAATTATTCTTAGCAGCATTGGAAAGGGCTGATCCAACAAAACAAGATGAATGCTTCCATTTTGTTTCAAAGCAAAGTTCATGAAAATAAAAAGTCATGGTCCCTACTTGATTAAATTTTCTCTGCTCTTTCTGGACATCCTATTCTCAAATGAAAATGCAGATAATGGGCTATTTTGCTCTTTTTCTGTCTAGATTGGCAAATCATTATCTGTGTCCTCTCATCCATTCACCACACAGAAAAACTATGTCTTAATACTATTAGAATTTCAACAACTATAAAATGCTGATATATATGCAATCTTTTTATCCATAGATCTTAGAGGCATTCATAAAGAATATTATTATTTTCTCTTGTCACATACAAAAAAGCTGTGACATTCCTTTAGCAAATCAGAAACTGAGGCAGAAAGCATCTTCCAAGGATATCAAACAAGTTTAGATTTTCAACTATATTTTTGATAAACCATGGCCAAAACCAGAGAGAAGTAACCATGTAGTGCTCATAGTACATAGTGACCACAAGTGTAACAGAATATTATCTATAATTTTAGCTAGAAATTAGAAATTGTCAAGGAATTTTAATACAAAAGAGCATTATTTCTTTAAGCTTCTAGATTAATCTTCCTATGTTATTAAAAGTATGATATACAATATTATAATTATTTTTTTTAAATAATGGTTTTATCTTAAGTGTTGCCTTGCAGTGAAAACATTTCATCCATGTATCAATATTTTAAGAATGCAAGTTTGGTCAGGATGAAGCAAGAATATCATCAAGAATAATACAGAATAAAGTAGAATTGCTACTAGAATTGATGAACACAATGAGTACACTTTTTCCTAAATGAATTAAATATATCCCTACATCTTATATTTTCAGAATTCCTTAGTTTCTTGCTGATACTCCCCTCCTAGCACAGTACTGCTTGTTTTCTGGTTTTGGCTTGTGTTCTAGGACCCTTTTGACTGCTGTAAAACTCCTAGCATTTTGTTGTCCAGCTCAGTAAATAAGTAAGAATTTCCTGGGATTTCCACAAGGAAGCAGAAGTGGAGAGGGAGATTTGGATTTCACCACTACACTAAGGTCCTCAAAACATCCTCTTTTACTGGCCTATAACTCAGAGCATACTGCTGCTCAGTTCTTTACCCTCAGTTCTTAAGATTCTAGGTGTAGGTACTTCAAGACACAGTGAGTTTCCTGTAGAAACAGATACTCTATAAAAATTATATTTTATTTAAGTACTTGTGTATAAACTGCAGAGACTGAGGTATCACTATAGTCAGTTCAAGACAGAGTGAAGTAGGTTAATGATTTGGATTCAAATGGCAGGTTTTGTGCAAAAAAAAGAAGGCTGGGGAGTATAAAGTGTATTCTTGGTTACCTTTTCATTTATGCTGGATCATTTTCTGTTCTTTATGTATCTATTTGTTTATACTTATGTGTTCTTGTCATGGGAAAAAAAAAAAAAGCAGAATAAAAAAACAACAACTCAAACAAACTCCTTCCTGTGCTGTGACTTCCGTGATGTTCTGAGTACTGTAACACAACCAGATTTTTCCAGAATCCTTCCTTTAATTAGTGGACAAGCCACATATATGCAATATGCTAAAGCTTCTTATTTACAAGAGTCTATTTCTGCAATTAGAAATCTTAAATTTGACTTATAGAATAGTTAAAAGAAAATAATTAATAGGACTACCTGAATGGTTTCATGCATAAAACATTGGGAAGTTTGCCCATAGTTCTATTAAACTGCAATTCTGAAATCAATGCCATGTCCAGTTTGATTTTTAGAAGTCTAGATATACTTTCCAAGATTATATAGATGCTTTAAGCCAAAATTTCACAACAAGGGTCACTCTCACCTTACTCAATGACATCTGTGTAAAAAATCAGTAGCTTATCTCATTTTTATTCCTCCACCCCTCTCAGTGGGAATCCCAGGTCAAGGATGTATGTACATATTTTGTACTAGAATAATCACGTCCAACATAACTTATAACTGATACATAACTTAGCTCTCTCCTTGCCACCTCACTGGACAACGAATTTTGCTTTCTTATTAGATGTACATTGTGCAGTGATAGCAACAAAATGGATGAAGAGTGTGCTGAGACCACCCTCAACAACCTCAGCGATGGCTGTGAAATAAAACACCCTGGACATGCTTTAAAGGAGTTAAAGCAAGGACGCAGCACAATGTGTTCTTCTGGGTTTTGCCATGTTTTTGTTGCTGCTTGCCCAGCATGCCCTTCAGTCCTTCTCCTCCTAAAACTCCTGGAGCCTTCAAGTGCTTCCTTAAGATTGCTGTTGTGCTCAGGGTGAGAGAACAGAAACACCTCCTAAGAATATGACTGATCCTCCGTCAGCTGCTGCACTCATTACATGCTCAGAGAGATTCACAGAGAGACAGACAGACAGACCAAATCTGACTGCCATGTTATGGACTTGATATGTGAAAATAAAGATGAGTGACAATCCAGGGTTAATTCTCTCAGTTCCCATTTGTGCAAAAAGGAATTTTTAAGAGAGGGTTTTTTTGTTGTTTTTTTTTTTCTAAATTTTTTTATGATTTAACTGTTTGACTTCAATTGAAAATAGATAGCTTGGAAGTTATTTGTTTCTGAAGTAAATGGAAGTGAGGAAAAGCATCTGACACAGCTCAGTTAATTTATTGATTAAGACCATAAGAGACCATAACCAATATAAAACTTAAAATATGTTACCAATAATTCATGTATCATGGTTCTGAACCAGTTAAAAAGGAGGCCAGCTCAGCATGACTTTTCAAGCTTCCTTCATATTCTATTTCTTTAAAACATATAGTTTTATAGAATTTAATAACCCCCCCATCTGCTTATCTTTAGAGCAAATGTACCAAAAAATATCAACGTGTACCAGACACATAAATTATTATTATTGGCATCCATTTAACAGTTTTGAAAACAGAAACATAAAAGCAACAGAAAACCATCTAAGCCTAGTACAAGGAAGAAAGACTTCATATTTATATAACAGAACCAAAGGCTATATGAAGTTTAATAAGTCTCTTGATGTGAGTTTTGGAAGTCCATTTCAGAGCTTAATATGCTACAGAATGTACCTTCATACACATATTTTGAAATATCCCCTTGAAAATATGTTATTGGTTAAAATAAACTGGTTATAAAGATATAAAATTGGTTAAGGGATGATTCTCTAATTTTTTCTTTCTTTTTTTTTTTTATTTTCCCATCTCTTAATTCATTAGTTATCATGATACAACATGGAGCTTTCCAACATTTTTTGTGTCTGCAGGACACCACAAATCACACACTTACCTACAACTTTTCAACTGATGTTCATGACGGCTGTGATTTCCAGACAGTGCTCTGTCCAAACTCTGGATATGTCATAAACTGTGCCTATCACTGCAGAAAAGGTAGCATATTCTGTCTTCTCTTGATGAAGTTCATTAGGATTCAATCCTTATATTGTAGCCTTCATTTCTCTAAGGCTGGTAGTATTACAGCCCAGGAAAGGAGCAAGTCAGCTGGTATTAATGACATTAACCCAACAAGTAAGAGAGCACAGCTGAAGATTTGAGGTGTGGTAGATCTCTGGGTGTTTTTCCCTGTGAGGAATCATCCATTTCTGTAGAATGGTCCCTTATATATTTTGAAAAGCATAGCTGGTCCAAGTGCTCTTCAAGGAAGAATGTGAAAAAGTTTTTTTTTCCTCAATGACTTACTGGTTTATTCCCATTATGGTAAGTGCAAAATTTCAGTAATTCCCAACTTCTACTTCTGTCTTATCACTGTTGTAGAAAAATACCATGTGTCCATTTATAAAAAAAAAAAAAAAGTGTTTCTTGCTGCTGCCATTGCAAGAATAACTAGTATCATTCTAAAATTTGATTTAAATAGATTCCATTTCTGGTGTGGATAGCAAACATGAGCATTATTTTGTGAAATAAAAGATAGATTTCAGTTTTGTTGAAAATTGAGATGAAAGAGAAGGAAGTGGCAGAAGGAAGTGGCGGAAGGAAGTGGCGGAAGTGGCGGAAGTGGTGGAAGGAAGGAAGGAAGTGGCAGAAGGAAGGAAGGAAGGAAGGAAGTGGCAGAAGGAAGGAAGGAAGTGGCAGAAGGAAGGAAGTGGCAGAAGGAAGGAAGTGGCAGAAGGAAGGAAGGAAGGAA